TTGCTGTCCTTTTGTTCTTCAGTCTAGTTGTGGAGGACATTGCTTCACTGGCCCAAGTTGGCACCATCATTGCGCTCTTCCCGGGCGAGGCAGACCAGTCGCCGGCTTCTGGACAGCCGCTCATGCTGGCTGCTGGCTACACACGGTAGCCCATGGCAACCGGCTGCAGCAGGGGCTGCAGCCTACGCCTTCGCCGGCAACTCACAGCAGCCCAGCTCCAGGTTGAGCTGTTGTTCAGCATCTTTGCTGTACAGGGCAGTGTCACTGCTCTCATATGTGGGATCCGAACCGGAGCCCTCTGGCATCCCAAGCCAGCTCTTAACCATCGCGCCACTCAGCCAGCCTCCCCCACTGAGTTTTAAAAGGCTCTCACCCTCAGTCTTCAACCTTGGTTCCCATTTCTTTCTTTCTTTCACAGTTCTTAGTGTTGTTTGACATTGGATGGTTTTCCACAATGGTTGTCTCCCCCACCAGTAGGCAGGCAGGTGAGGCCATTAGGTACCTGTTACCTGGCTGGGAGCAACAGCATTATTGCCACCGTCATTGCCGTGGCACCCCAAACTTACGAAGCACTCACTACACACTAGTCGTTGTTCTACCTGTCAACTATAGGAAGTAGCACTGTTAGCCCCTTTTACAAATGAAGAAACGGGCTCAGAGGGAAAACAGTGTTCACCAAAGGTCACACAGCTTGTAGGTGATGGAACCAGATTTGATGTCAGGCTTTTCAGGCACACCTAAATTGTGTCTCTGGAAAGGGATCTTAAGAATTTACACATTCGGGCTGGCCGAGTGGCGCGATGGTTAAGAACTGGCTTGGGACACCAGAGGGCCCCGGTTCGGATCCCACATATGAGGGCCAGTGACACTGCCCCCATTCCCCCAATTCCCCCAATAAAAAAAAAAAAAAAAAAAGGAATTTACACATTCATGCAACAAATGTTCACTGAGTCCCTCCTGTGTGCCAAGATCTCTGTTAAACACCTGGGTCATAGCCATGAACTAGACAGAAGTCCAGGCCTGGTGAGACCTTCATCCTGGTGGGGTAGCCATGTATTAAATCCTGAGTACGCTGTAAATGCTATAATGCCAGGCAACGATAAATGCAATGGGAAAGTCTGGCATGGGGGGAGGAGATGTCAATTTAAAGTAAAGTCTTTGCTTAAACAAAGCCCAAAGGAGGTGGAGGAGGGAGCTATATCTGGGGAAGGGAAGTACAAGGCAGAGGGAATGGACAGTGCAAGAGCCCTGAGGCTAAAACATACCTGGTGTGCTCACAGGTCAGCTGGGAGGCCAGTGACTAGAGGGAGTAATGAGTTAAGAGTGAGAGGGACGAGAGCCAGGAGGTGACCGGGGGTCACAGAGAGGACTTTGACTTTGGCTTTTTCTCCCAGTGAGATGGGAACTATGGAAGGTTCCATGCAGAGAGGGATGTGACTGAGTTATGTGTTCCCAGGTGTCCTGTGTCTGCAATGGGGGGCAAGGGTGGGAGCTGCACCTGTCACTGTTTGTCCTCTTGGCTGTTTGAGAAATGTTCCTTGACTAACCAGATGATGCTTTGTTCTGTCCAGATCCTGCCGAGGCCTTGCAGCTCCCCATGGACTACGTCCATCGGGTCAAGCGGACGCACTCCCAGGGCGGCTATGGCTCACAGGGGTGAGGCAGAACCAGGACTTTGGGGTGTCAGATGGAAGGAGGTTGGGGCCCTGAAGGCATTAGCATGAACTTCGGATTTCCTCCTGAAGGTACAAGTACAATTGGAAGTTGGATGAGGCTCGGAAAAATTTGCTTCGTACGCATACCACAGCGGCCAGCGCCCGTATCCTCTACCGCCTGGCCCAGAAGGTGCAGCTAGGCCTGGCAGTGCGGGGGACAGGGAGGGGGCTGTCATACTGACCTTCTGACCCATGTCCTGGCCTTGCCTGTCTATCACCCCAGAAGCCCTTCACTCCCACCAAGTACTTCTCCATTGATCGTGTGTTCCGAAATGAGACCCTGGACGCCACACACCTGGCTGAGTTCCACCAGATTGAGGGTGTTGTGGCTGACCACGGCCTCACCCTGGGCCACCTCATGGGTGTCCTGCGGGAGTTCTTCACCAAGCTCGGTGAGCAGGCAGGCCGGGGCAGTCAGGGTTGGTGGGGCCTCGGCAGGATACCTGGGTCACCAGCCTTATCCTGCTCCCAGGTATCACCCAGTTGCGCTTCAAGCCAGCCTACAACCCCTACACAGAGCCCAGCATGGAGGTGTTCAGCTACCACCAAGGTCAGTGTGGGACCCAGTATTGGGACAGGGAGGGAGGTCTACCTTCTCTCAGCCCGGGTTCCGTTACTGCCAAGCCCACACCCCGCCTCCTGAGCTCACTGCCAGGCCCAGTATCACCCACATAAGCTACCCCATCCTTCTGCCCCACAGGTTTGAAGAAGTGGGTAGAGGTTGGGAACTCCGGGCTCTTCCGCCCTGAGATGTTGCTGCCCATGGGACTCCCCGAGAATGTATCGGTCATTGCCTGGGGCCTCTCCCTGGAGCGGTGAGTATCTAAACCATTTAGGGTGTCTGGCTACCTCACTCAGTCGACTTTCTAGGCGTGGGGGCCTGCAGACCTTTAGCACTATCCATTCTTTCATTCACTGACAAACTTTAGTGAGCACCTGCTGTGGGCTCTGCCCTATGCTGTGACTAAACAGCACACACCCCTGCCTCCACAAAACAGGGGTCCTAGTGGAGTGAGAAGAACAATAAATAAGTAAATTCAGCAAATAATGTCTAGAATGTGTCTGAGCACAGTACCTGTGATAGAGAAAACACAGCAGGGAGGGCTAAGGAGAGGAGGTTGTCAGGGAAGTCCTCAAAGGAGGTGGCATTTGAGCAAAGACTGGAGGTGAATGAAGGAGTGAGCTGGGATATGAATGAAGGAGGATACCTGGGGAAGGGAGTGCCAGGCAGAGGGAACTGCCAGTGCAAAGGCTCTGAGGCTGGAGTATGCCTGCTGTGTTTAGAGTGAGGTCATTGTGGCGGGAGGGAGGCGGGAGAGGGAGGAGATGAGGGTGGGGAGGTGATAGGGCAGATCATGCAGGGCCTTGTGGGCCACGGGGAGGACTTAGGCTTCTACTCTGAGGAAGGCGGGAGCCCTCAGAGAAGTTTTGATCGGAGGAGAACAGGACCTGACCTAGTGTTAAACTGTGTTGCCTCTCTTCCTCAAGCCCTACAATGATCAAGTACGGCATCAACAATATCCGGGAGCTGGTAGGCCACAGGGTGAACCTGCAGATGGTATATGACAGCCCTCTGTGCCGCCTGGAGACATAGGAGACCACATAACATGGGCCGCCATAGACAGACCACCCTCTCCGAGCCCCTGCTGCCCAACCTCTTTGCATCCCTGGCCACTGAGCCCCTTGTATTTATAAGGCCTCTGTGAGGTCATCCCCCTGACCTTGGTATCCTCTTCCCACCCACCCCAGAGTCCCAGGGTCAGGGGAGCAAGTAGCATGTTTGTTCTGATGTCGACCTATGAGGGTGGGCCCTGGGGAGCCCTGCAGGTGGCTTACTCACTAATAAAATGGGCAGTTGCCCTCATCTGGTGCCTTTCCTTAGAGGTGGATGGGTCTTGTCGGCTCCCCCAATCAATGCTACTTGATAGGGAACCTGGTGCTAGTGTGAAGGGTGGTGGGTTAAGGGTCTTGGATTATCGGGACCTCCTGGCCAGCCTCAGCCAGATCCCCCTGCCCTCCTGCCCCGGGAAGAGGAGCTCTATCAAGCATTTACCGATCACCTACTAGTGCCAGGCCCTCTTCTAAGTGAATGAAACAGGCCCCTGCCCCTCTGGGAAGGACATTTTGGAGGGCAAGCAAGCTAAGCTTTTAAACCCCCCCCCCAAGAATTTTTAGACCATTTTTAGGTTTACAGCAAAATTGAATGGAAAGTAGAGATTTCCTATATAACCCCTGCCCCCACACTGCACAGCCTCCCCGCTATCAACATCCCCACTAGAGTGGTGTATTTGTTAGAGCTGATTAACCTACATTGACACATCATCACCTGTGGTCCTTAGTTTACATGGTGGTTCACCCTGTGTGTTGTACATTCTATGGGTTTGGACAAATGGATGATCACACCTATCTACCATTATGGTATCATACAGAGTATTTTTACTGCCCTGAAAGTCATCTGTATTACACCTATTCATCCCTCCACACCCTCCCCAAACGCTGCTCTTCAAAATTCTTGTAAGGATTTCAAATGAGCCCAGAATAGAGATGACTAGGATAAGGTTCCATGAGCCCAGCACTCTTATTAAACAGTGGTTGGGATCTCACATTTGAGCTTCATCTGCAGTATGTTTCTGTAGAAGTATTTTATTTTTAAAGATTTAATCAGGGAAGGGGAACCGCCAAGTTGTCCTTCAATCCTAGTTGTGGAGGGCGCAGCTAGCTCAGCTCCAAGTTCAGTTGCCATCTGGCCGCCTGTCGGCAGCTCACTGCTACTCAGCTCATTGGCAGCTCAGCGGCAGTTCAGCTCAGGCTCAGCTCACTGGCCCATGTGGGAATCAAACCAGCGATCCTGTTGCCCAGAGCTCATGCTCTTAACCAACTGAGCCACTCCGCCGGCCCTCTGAGGAAGCATTTTAAAGTAAATTCCAGCTGCCATTGCTGCTTGCCACACGTCTTCAGGGATAGTGTATATTTGGAAATGTGGACACTGGCGCACCCAGCAAAGTTGATAACTGAAGCCAATGGCTTCACTGGTCCCAGGGCCCTATGGGCACCAATATCCCAAGAGCACTCCAGTCACATCTTTTTATTTCAAATTAACTAATTCAGTCATGCAGAAAAATACTGATTCATGCAACAAATGCACACTTCCTAAGTGCCAGCACTGTTCATAAATGAAGTCTCCTCATAGGCAAAGTGGACTTGGTCCATGCCCTCTGGAGCTGACATGGGGAGGGCACTTGGAGAACATGATAAACAAATACAGAAATGAAGGAGTAAAGGCCTTACTGAAAAACAAAGGCAGCTGAGTATGGTGAATATATAATAAAGCATAATTCAACAAACACCCAGGAATCCATCCCACACCCTGTTTGATCAAATCTGAACTTTATAGCACTTGCTTTGGATCTTTTTAGGCCTAAGTGACCAATGGGTTTGAAGACCCTATGGGCTTATCCTAGATCATTTTGCCTTCACCCTGCTGAAGTTATTATCCTCTCCTGAATTTGGTGTTCATTCTCATGTGATGTAACATTTTTACTACTTGTATGTATTATTTTCACAAGACATTTCATTTTGCATGTTTTTAAAAGTTACACAAATGGTGCACCATAAAAATCCTACATCGTGTGTGTTGCTTTTATTTTGGTTCTATGTGCTTATGTTTGTGTGCATGCTTAACAATAAGCCTTTGAGAGTTTTCTCAGTAGATAATCCTCCAACCTTCAAATCTAATGCTGCAGAAAGATGTATTTTATTTAACTTGTGGCTTTGCCACAAAATACTAATGTAGTTACTGTGTATTAAACTCTTGGTATGTTCCAGATGTTTTATCCCTGAAACCCTTACAATAGCCTGATTGTTTTTAGATCCTATCACCTTGGTAGTAGATGAAGATGGGTTTTGAGAGTGAGTGGCAATTTTATAATCATCGTTGCAGGTAAGAGATAGAGCCCAGGTTCAAATTCATGTTTTCCAGAATGTAGGTGTCAAGATGTGTGCCCTAGTGTGTGTGACCCAGGACAGAGCCCCTCACAGAAGGGCTGAGCAATGTGAACCGATTCCCACTGCCCCCTCCACATGGACACTGTGACAGGTGTCCCAGAGAGAGCTCCCTCCACCTCCTTCCCAGTCTATTATGCAAATATTTTCTCCTTGTCTGTGGCTCCTAGCGTGTCAACAATAACGTTGTTACTATTAAGGTATTGTACTATTAAGGGATATTGGTCCAACTCTGTAAGGGCCAGACCTCACCATGCTGTCAAGGAGCTTCTAGTTCTGGAGCGCACAGGTAACTCATTCAAGGAGGTAACAATCAACTTTTTCACTGGAGGCAATAAATCGTAATCAGGGACTAGCAAGGGTCAGAATCTTTTATTGGAAAGATTTCTTTGGGCACAGCAGATGAACTGAAACTTGATGACTAAGCTCAGGGTCCACTGAATTCCCGATACCTACGTTGGGCCGGGGAAACGCACACAGCCTCCCACGCGTGCACAAAAACCAACCCCACCCCACCCTCCCCGGTCGGGGCCCGCTGCGCACGCAGCCCCAGAACAACCCAACCGCCAAATAACGGCCGGCGCGCTTTGCTGCGCGCGCACATCCCCCAAAGGAGGCGGGGCCAGGAAGCGCGCTGCATCACGTGCGTGTGGCGGCGCGTGCGCAGGGTGCAGACGAGAAGGCGGGAAAAGGCGGGATGGAGCGACAGGGAGTACATGGCGCTTGTTTTCTTCGCGCGGGCGGCGGGCGGACAGGGAACTGCAGCGATCTAGGGCTTCCGCGGCATTCCGAGACCGGCCGCTTGTCTCCTGCCATCGGGGCCACCCCTCACCTGTCCGGGCCCTGATTTCCTGACTGACCGACCGGGCCCTGACTGAGGGACGGACGGTGTGACTGACGCGCTGACAGCAGTGTCAGAAGGACAGACTTCCACGCATGGCGCGTGTCAGGAGCCGTGTAGAGAGGGGCCCAGACACCCACAGACCACACCCGTTTCTTCCCTTCTTTCTCTCTTCCCTCTTCTTCTTCGAAGGACTCGAACCCACGCATACATCAGTTAGGAGCCCAGGCACCACAGCGCCCCGCGCGGAGCCCCTGCCCTCACCCTGGCCCCTCCAAGTTACCCCGCGTCTGCCCTGCACTTCAGGAGCAGGGTTCGCTCACCCCACGGCGCCGACCACGTGGTGCCCACCCCAGTTCTGCCCGCCTCTTCTGTGGGTCCCTACAATGTCGCAGTGTCCACGGAGGTGCCCAGGGCGGGAGAAGGGGATCTGACCACTTGTCACCCTTCCTCCTTCCATCTCTCAAGCGCTGGCTGTGTTCACAGGTCGACATACCGCACATAGAGTGCAAGGACCAGGACCCACAGCCGTTGGGGGAGAGCAAGGAGCAGCCGCAGGGCGAGGAGAGCTGCGAAGACGAAGCCGGTCGGGGGCCAGCGAGGTGAGAAAGCCTCCGGCCCAACGGGTCCAAACAGACCTCTGGGTCTTTCTCTTTAACACGTTTCTTCCCCAAGTCCCTACCATTGTGTGCTCTTGGCGTATTTGTTCCAGTACTGGTTGAGCATCTGTCATGTGCCTGGAACGGGGCTAAGTGCTGGGAAGACAGCAGTGAGCTTGCGGTCTCTAGAGGAGGAGACAGATTGTAAACTCAGGAATATATAGTCGTCACTAGATGCTAAGTGCTGTGGGGGGAAAGCAGGGAAAGAGTGACAGGTAGCCAATTTAGATCAGAGGAGGGTCAGGGAAGGCTTCATGGAGGAGGTGACAATTGAATTATACAGATAGGGAGAACTATGCTACAGGCAGAGGAACCGCGGCTGCAAAGGCTGGGAAGGAGGATTGTGCTGGAGCAGTGTGAATAAGGGAGATAGTAAGAGATACAGTCAGACAGGTAACAGGACTTTGGATGTTAATTACCCATGAAAATGTTTGGAATAGAGGAGTGACATGAAGTGACTATAGCAGGGTGGGGACTATTGTTAATCAAGTTCTATTGGAATACTGCCACACTTGTCTATGGCTGCTTCTGCAGAGTTGAATGGTTGTAACTTGGACTATAGGGTCTGGAAAGCTAAAGTTTGCAGTCCTCTGGACTAAAGTATTAAAAGGTTCTCTCTGGCTGCTGTGTAGAGAATAGATTGTTAGGGCAGGAGTGGAAGCTGGGAGGCCAGTGAGGAGGCAATTAGAATAATCTAGGTGCAAGATAACTCTGACTTGTCCCATGGTGGATCTTTGGAGGTGATGAGAAGTGGTTAGATTCTGGATATATTTAATAAGCTAGAACTGACAGAATTGCTAGTGGATTAGACATTGAAGTGACAGAAACAGCAGTGTCAGGGATGACAAAAGAAGGTTATGTCTTGTACATTTATGAATTCATTTATTTTTT